GCATGTCGTTTAGGATTTGAATGGACTTTTTCGAAGTGGGTGTTAGAAACTCAAAAAATGCTCGGCATTTGTCGGGGTTTGCCTGAATCTCTCGTTCTGTAAGGTAGAATCTGAGGAATTTTCCTGCCCGTATGCCAAAGGAGTATTTTTTGGGGTTAAATTGCATCCGGAACTTTGTGGCCTGCTCGAAAACTTTCTTCAAGTGGAGGGCATGGTCGATTTCTTTCATCGATTTGACGATCATGTCGTCCATGTAGACTTCGAGCATGTCACCTATTTCGTTGTGAAAGACTTTGTTCATCATGCGTTGATATGTAGCGCCTGCATTTTTCAGGCTGAAGGGCATTACGTTGTAGTAATAGTTGCCGGACTCGGTCATGAAAGCGGTATATTTTTGTCCGCTTTCGCCATTGGAATATGGTTGTATCCAGAATATGCATCCATATAAGACAATAATTTGAAACTGGCCGAGTTATCGTCCAGTTTATCAATATAGGGGAGGGGATAAGCATCTTTCGGGCAAGCCTGATTGAGGACGATATAATCAATGTACATGCACCATTTTCCATTAGATTTATTTACAAGAATCACATTCGAGAGCCAGATTATGTACCTGGCATCATAAATAAAATGTTCCTCTAGGAGGTCTTTTGCAGTTAGTTCCACAACATCCATTTTTTCGGGGGACTGTTTTCTTCTGGGTTGGGAGACCGCCTTGAGGGCGTGGTCTATGGTGATGTGATGACATGCAATCTCTGGGTCCAATCCAGGAATCTCAATTGTGCTCCATGCGAACAGATCATCATTCTCCGTCAAACAAGCTTTAAGTTGCCTCTTTGCCAAGTCGGGGAGGTCAGCTCTGATGTTTACTCCTCTCGTGGGACCGCTCTCGAGGGGGATGATCTTGAAGTCTCCGTTTGGAATGGGTCGTACGGGATCTGAGAGTTCCTCACGACTTGCACCTAGGGATGGACATTTTCCTTCGACCATGGGCTCTTTCTCTTTCCTCTTCTGCTTTGTGCGATCCTTCTTGGAGAAGCGGTTGTCGAGGTCACTGGCGACCCTTGGCAGTGGCTTAGCCTCCTCAGAGCTGGAGGGCAAGGCGGCCCCCGTGGTCGTTCGGGGTTGAGCTTTGATGGAACTGAGGCCATTGGTCGAGGCTTTAAAGCATCTTCTTACCGCTTGGACGTCCCCGTGGAGGGTGGCGTCCAAACCCTCTCTAGTGTAGTATTTCATTTTGAGGTGTACGGTGGAGGGCACTACAATTAGTTCGGCCAGAGTAATCCTTTTAAAGATTCATTGATAGAGAGACGGGAAATCCACTACCAGAAACTCAGTCTTGATGGTTATGGTGGTCACTCCTCTTCCAAATGTGACGATCAGTTCGACATACCCTTAGGGTTTAGTACTGGCCTCGTTGAAGACCTGGAGGTCTAAGCCCACGTATGGGGTCAGGTGGCTTTTGTTTAGTTGTAGGGTAGCGAACAACTGGGTGTACATGATGTCCACCGAGCTTCCTTGATCGACCAATATGCGTTGAACATCAAAGTTCTCCATGCGATCCTGTACGAGCAGTGGGATAGTCGAGTTGGGGGCTCTTCCCGACAGTTCCTCCATGTAGAAAGCGAGGGCATGAGAGCCTCCTCGAAACTTATCTAGTGTGGCATCCATGTCATAGTTGGCTTTGATAAGTTTCTCAAACCTTCTTTTTGTGGATCCTTTGTATGCTTGTTGAGTCCTCCGCTAGAGATGACCATCGCAACAGGGAATGACCCCTAGAGACTATGAGAGGAGAAGTACAATGGGACGTTCTCCATATCCTGGAAGTTGAAATCTTCTGGTTGCGAGATACTCATGGCAACCGCTATCATGCTGATGTCAAGGGACTCCTTCCACTCTTCGATGCTCTTGGTTTCTGGAGCCTCCTCGTGGGCACCCTATTTCTTCTTCTACTGCTTGAGGTGACTGTCTCGAATTAGTATCTCAATCGCATCCTTGAGATGGATGCAATCATCGGTGTTGTGACCATGGCTTTTGTGGAATCTGTAGTACTTGCTCTTGTCGGTGCTGGGCTTGGAGGGTGTCTGGAGAGGAAAGTGTACCCCAACTTGTTTAAATTCAGAGTTGGTGCATTCAGACAGAATATGTTCTCTTGAATTATTCACAGGGGTGTAGACGTGGAACTGACTAGCAGGCCCCTTGTAATCTTTGGAGTCTCGGGATCTGTTTTCCCGCTTTCTCTCTCCCATCCAACGGGATATCGAGGGCTCGTCGCTTCTCGAGGGTTTGGCACTCTCTCGGTTCCCTGAATCTCTAGAATTATTGGCTACTTCTTTCTCCTCGTATTGAATGTACGCTTCAGCTTTGAGGAGGAGGCAGTCGAGTGTGGCTGGAGTTTTGATACCCACAGCCTTTGTGAATTCACTGCGGGGGCAAAGCCCTCATTCAAGAAGGTACTTCTTCATTTCATCCGTCGTTGAGACCTGTACGACTTCTTTATTGAAGCACTTGATAACTGTACATAGAGATTAGTCTCTGCCCTGGATAATTGCTTCAAGTGAAGCCTCTGATTTTGGATGCCGGTGGGAGGCGGTGAAGTGCCTTGAAAATATCGTTCCCAGTTATTTCCAAGAAGTGATAAATTAGGGGGGCAGACTTTTGTACCAAGTCATGACACGTTTCCTCAGAGTGGTCGGGAATAACCTGCATTTAATTACGCCTTTAACACCTCAGTCGTGTCGTTGTAGGATTCCAATGGGGTAGCTTCTCGAGCTCGACCAGGAGTCGTGTCTCCATAATTTCTCTCGATAATGGGCCACGGGGCTCGTCGTCATTGGTCACTTCTGGAGATGATGACGGGGAGTGACAGTTCCTTCCTAGTCGTGCATCATGATCTCGTCGAGGGAAGGGTCTTCGCTCTCGCCGCCTCGATTTGGGTGATAGTGACATGCCGCAATCACCTTTGCAGGTGCTCTTCTTCTTCTTGGAAAGCGAAAAGTATTTACCTTTCTTGGGAGAAGCTCGATCACGCTTCTTGCAGAAAGAAACGTCGAGCCTTTCCTTTCTTGGAGGACGCTCCTTTCGGGGAGGTGATATACTGGAGGAGGTGCGTCGTCAGTGTCTCCGAGGGGGAGACCTTGACTGTTTCTTCTCTCGAGCCCCTATCCTTTTTCTTTGCTGGAGGATGAGGGAGTTGTTTCGGTTAAGGGCAGGGATTAGTGCTGCTATGGTTGGGTCGGCGTTCTGCGGAACGAGGACCGATTGTAGAATTTTTGGCTGGTCTTCAACATGGTTCTTGGGAAACTGTTCGTCCAAGAATAGATTATTCTCGCGATCATCGTCGATGGAATCTGGGGACGCAGTATGTTCATCACGAGCGCTGAAGTTATCCTCGAGGTGAGGATGTTCTTGGCTTTCGTCGGTCTTGTGTGCCAGAGAGAGCTCAGTCTTTCCAGATAGGTGGTGATCACCGTGATCGGCCATGATCGATGAACCGAGAGGATCTTTGGTCTTAAGATTCTAGGAATAGAAAACGGGGAAGATAGTTCCCACAGTCGACGCCACTGATCTTACCGGTTCATCAGAACCAACAAGGTGGTCAGATGATAATCTTCAGACGAGCTGGAAAGTCAAAAAGGGAAAAGAGGGGTTGTATCTGTAAGGCACTCCGACGATCAAGTAAGCGTGAGAGTAAAAAGAGATACAAGTAAAGTATTAGGATTTTAGTGATGAATGGTGGATATTCGATACTTGGCCCTCACATGAGTGAGAGTTTATGTAGTGCCTCTGGCGCTTGGCCATTGGTCTCAACTTTTGAGCCTAGATATACGGGTCCGCAAAAATAGATAACTGTCAGGACTTGGTCAAACGGGGAAGGTGTGTCTGCAACTAACCATTGATTTCGAGGATGAGGTAGATTACAGGCAGCGGTCTGATCGGTTCCTAGTTGTCCGGGTAACTTGAGATCGGACAGACTAAAAGGCGCTCGTTGATTGTCGTAGGTCAGTGCTGGTTCAAGATGGCAAACAATTGACGGTGCCCGATAGAAGACGGGAGAGCCCAAACTGTAGTTGCACGGACCGTGCCAAATGAGGAGGTCAGAGTGAATCTACTTAAACCATTAGACCAATAAAAAAAAGATGAGTAAATAAAATAATAATATATAATTTAATAATAAAAATTAAAATTAGATAAAAATCTAATAAAAATCACATAACAACAAGATGCAATGATATTTATAAAATATGTTTATTTACGCGAATTGACATATCATGAGGTGCGTAAATAAAAGTAATAAATGGCTCTTGATGATCGATGTTCTAGACTTAGAGTTTAATCAAATTCATTATTATAAATAAAATTATAAAATGTTAGGTATTGTTCTATATAAAGATTTTTCGTATTTGTAATACTTAGTTTTTTTAATTATTATAATTTTTTTTTGTTAATATATATATATACATACTAATTCACTATTTAAAGACGAAAAATATCGATTATGTCCTTGTTTTGTTTCCATGGATTGTCATGTGTGATTGCTCTAAATTTAAGGAACTTTCACCATATTATAATGATATTATATTTTTCACCATAAAATATTAAGTAGGCAGAGTATTATAATATTGTAGAGAGAGAAAGCGAAATAAGGTGGTCGTGGCATTGTATCATGCATCAATGACCCTCCTTCATACCCCACCTTGTCTTGCTCACACTTATTGGAATTGTATCATGCATCATCAATCCTTCTACCTTTTTATGAGTCCTCTCTCCCATTTTCTTATTCTTACACGTGGTCTTCTCTTACTTCTCCTCCCTCTTTTCCCTCTCTCCCCCACTATATATACCCCAATATCTCACTCTCCACTCCCCTCAAGTCTCGCTCTCTTCTCATTCTCAAAAAAAAAAACATTAACTCAAACAAAACAAGCTTCAACCGAAACAAAACAGTTGTGATTTTTTACTACTACTCTTTTCAAAATAGAGAACCATCTTCATCCACTATGGCAACATTTAGAGCATCTTCATCCAACACATGGCTCAACCCCAAATCTTCTTCATTCAATGATTTGTGCTCTAGTTCCAATTCAAGGGCAAATTCAAGTTCAATCTTGTTAAGGAAGAAAAGATTTGGATCAAAAAACACAATCTCATGTTCCCTACAAACAACACTCCCTTTCCCAAAAAAGTACCAACCTCAGTCCACAAATCCAACAACAACCTTAAACCCAACAAAAGAAACAAAACCCAATTTACCATTACCAAAACAAGAACAAAAATGGAACCTTCTACAACAAGCCGCCGCCACCGCCCTCGACTTCGTCGAAACAACCTTAATCAAACAAGAAAGCAAACACCCACTACCTAAAACCTCCGACCCACGTGTCCAAATTGCCGGTAACTTCGCCCCAGTACCGGAACATCCGGTAACCCAAAATCTCCCAATTACCGGCAAAATCCCAAAATGCATTGACGGCGTTTACCTCCGTAACGGCGCCAACCCTCTTCACGAGCCGGTTGCCGGTCACCACTTCTTCGACGGAGACGGTATGGTCCACGCCGTTAAATTCAGTAACGGCTCCGTTAGTTACTCTTGCCGCTTCACCGAAACCCACCGTTTGGCCCAAGAAAAAGCCCTCGGCCGCCCCGTTTTCCCCAAAGCCATCGGCGAGCTTCACGGACATTCCGGTATAGCCCGTCTCATGCTATACTACGCACGTAGCCTGTGTGGACTCGTCGACGGTACCCACGGAATGGGCGTCGCTAACGCCGGTTTAGTTTATTTCAATAACCGTCTACTAGCCATGTCTGAAGATGACATCCCTTATCACGTTCGTGTCACACCTAACGGAGACTTAACGACCGTTTGCCGTTACGATTTTAACAACCAACTGAAATCAACAATGATTGCTCACCCAAAAGTTGACCCTGTAGATAAAAATCTGTACGCTCTAAGCTACGACGTCGTTCAGAAGCCTTATTTGAAATACTTTCATTTCGACTCCAACGGCGTTAAATCGCCCGACGTTGAGATTCCGTTAGCCGAGCCTACTATGATGCATGATTTCGCTATCACGGAGAACTTCGTCGTTGTTCCTGATCAACAGGTCGTGTTCAAATTAGGCGAAATGATTCGCGGTGGATCACCTGTTGTTTACGACAAAGAGAAAGTTTCTCGTTTCGGTGTTTTATTGAAAAATGCTCAAAATGCGTCTGAGATGAAATGGATTGAAGCGCCTGAGTGTTTCTGTTTTCATCTCTGGAATGCTTGGGAGGAGAATGATGAAGTTGTCGTGATCGGCTCCTGCATGACACCGCCCGATTCCATTTTCAACGAATGCGACCAGAGTTTGAAGAGTGTTTTATCGGAAATTAGATTGAATATGACAACAGGGAAATCAACCAGAAGAGCCATAATTGATGAAACCGAGCACGTCAATCTCGAAGCAGGAATGGTGAACAAGAACAAACTGGGCAGAAAAACACAGTTTGCTTATCTCGCTCTTGCCGAGCCATGGCCTAAAGTTTCCGGGTTCGCCAAAGTTGATCTTTTCACCGGCGAGGTTAAGAAGTATCTCTACGGCCAAAACCGATTCGGCGGGGAGCCTCTGTTTTTGCCTAATGAGGATTCTGAGAATGAAGATGATGGTTATATTCTGGCATTTGTTCATGATGAAAAGGAATGGAAATCAGAACTTCAGATTGTGAATGCTCTGAATTTGAAGATAGAAGCTTCTATTCCGCTTCCGTCTCGAGTTCCTTATGGGTTCCATGGAACTTTCATACATTCACAAGATTTAGAGAAACAAGAGTGATCCATCAGGATCGAGTGAGTGAGTGACTCGCTGAGTCACTCCAACTCGGTCTTGGTTTGTGAGAGGAAAGATTTTACTGAGGGATGGTTTGCAGATATGTCCCCGGAATCGACTCCTCTGGTTTTTTTACAGCAGCAGATATTATTAATTTCTGCTTTTTTTCGAAGTTCTTTATTATGAGGCCAGCTTGTAGCTTTTGGAGGTAGAAAATGAAGCTCAGCTGGTCTTTTTTTTTTTTAATTTTAATTTTATGTTGATGTGAATGAGAGTATAAAAAAATGATCACAGTGTAGAATGTGATATTATAGTATGTAGACTTATGTTTCAGCACAGTTTTGTGTTGTAAATATCAGATATGATGATGTTTATATTTGACTATATTTCTATTGGTGTTCAAATACTAGTATGTCTTTATAATGATTTGTTAATGGTTATGAGAAAAACAGAGGCAACAAGAAACTTATTTACTTGAGTTTCTTTTTGTTTGATGTTGATGTATTTTCTATAGTAAAAGGGAAACATTAAAAAATTGCAAAATTTTAAGGTGCAATCCTTGTGGTAACGAATTAAATAGGAACCAAAGTAGGAGATTTATCAAATAAGGTTATAATGAAAGAAGAGCTCCCCTCTTCCAATTGGGTAATTTTTAAAATTAGTGTGTAAATTTCTTGAATCAGTATGATTTTTGTTCTGGTGTGGTCAAATGTGTAGGCATGGTCTTGAAGAAGTGAAAAACACAAGAAGGGGAGTTGAATTGTAAAACTTGAAATCAAATGCAGACAACACGTTATTTTTATCCTGGTTCGTTTGATCTCAAACTACTCCAGTCCACCCGTCAAGGTGATTTCGCCTCTCTCCAACGAGGTCTTAATCCACTATATTCAACTGAATATTACAACTGCTTTAACAACTGCTAAAGCCTTCTTGAGTCAAAACCACAAACCGGTTTCTCAAGGAAATACTTTCTTACAGATAAATGAAATCTAAGTGTGTTGAATGTTTTCTACAAAACTGTTTATCACAACTGTGATACTACACAAATTAAGCTTATGAGAACTGAAATGCTAAAACAATAGAGTAAGTAATTTGAGAGCTTTAGCAAACTGGGAATGAGGATGAAGATGAATCGCTTTAGGCGTGTAGAGAGTTGTAGAGCATTAGCCAATCCGTTCCTCACTTGCTTGTTTATATAGCATTGGAAATGATACGTTGGAGTCAGTTATTCCGTTTCAATGCCAATTACATTCTTTCCATATTGAGAAGATCTTTGTCTGGAATAATGCCGTTGATAATAAAGTATCTTGAATGCACAGTACCATTGCCAATTAAGCGTGTTCCGGCTTTGGCTTATTCTGACGCTGCTAGGTGCTGATGAATTGTTGTGGTCTTGATCAGAGTTTAGATTTGTTACGCGCAGATTTGTTCATCAAGCTTCAGCGTAAGCACATGCTTTGATCTTCTGATTCTGGCATCTGATATAACATCCTCTGATGCTGATGATGATATTCTTATGCTGATACTCATCAGAGTTTCTGTGAAACACAATATAATTTTTAGGTAGCATATATGTCTTACATGAATCATACAATTTATATACTCTTGCATTTTGTTATCATCAAAACTTTAACTTAGGGTAGTAGATTCAAACTTTGTTCTAACAATCTCCCCCTTTTTGATGATGACAAAAACTAGATTTTTTTCAATTGAAAATTAACGAGAAAAGTATCAGAGATAAGCAAATAATAAATTGTATCAGAATTAAATAGGAAGTTATCAAAGATAAGAGGATAAGGGATAAAGAGGTATTAGAGTTTAGATCGGAAAGACTCCCCCTGAATTTATTACTTCCCTTTAATTCCATGAGTTCTTTAGGATTGGATCTTTATTGACTTTCTTTGAACATCGGAACATCAGAGCTTCAGTGTATTAGAGTTCATCAGATTCTTGTACCTGTAAGCTATGCAGAACAAAAACATTCAAGTATATCAGAGTGTTAGAATGTTTGAGACTTTTGTCTCAGTAAACCGTTATTGAAAAATATCAGTCTTTCTCCCCCTTTTTGTCAGCAATCAAAAAGTGCACATAATTGAGGAAGTAAAAAATAATTGAAGTAAGAGAATCAGTGCAGAAAAACGACTGTATTCAGTTCAGAGCCAGAAAAATTTTGATGATTGTAAGAGACGGTAAAAAAATTAATGAATGATGTTAAGGCGTTTAAATAGGTTTCAAAAGATGTTTTAAAAACGTAAACGATTTTAAGAGAGAGAGAATTAACTCATGATTACACGCATTTAATGTTTGCTGATTTTGGGGGATTTGAGAAAGATATTTGGAACGGTTACTAGTGACACGTGTCTCAATGCATCCAATCAGCGCTTTGCCTTCTCAGAAACGTGCACGCGTGTTCTGCCTCAGGAATAAGCTGATGACTGGATGACACCTGTTTGATTTAGTGAACAGCACATCTATCCTTGAACTGAAACGCTCAGATCTTTAAGAATAGAATCTGATACAGTCTGCATGTCTAAATTTCTGAAGGAAGATTGATCAGGAGTTCACAGTGAAGTAAAACAAATTCTGAAGGTTAACATATAAACTTAAAACATTTTCACTCTGGGCAGAGCTTCATGCTGAATGTTTCAGAATGAAGTTGAACCTATCTTCAGAAAGTGGTTTAGTGAAGATATCAGCCCATTGATAGTCTGTATCAACAAATTTTAAGTTCAAAATTCCTTTCTGAATATAGTCCCTAATGAAATGGTGTTTTATTTCTATATGCTTAGCCCTAGAATGCAAAATTGGATTTTTACTTAAGCAAATGGCAGAAGTATTGTCACAGAGTATATGGATGTTACTCTCAAAAATCTGGAAGTCTTCAAGCTGACTTTTCATCCAGAGAATTTGTGTGCTGCATCCTGCTGCTGCTATGTACTCAGCTTCTGCTGTTGATAGCGCAATTGTGGATTGCCTTTTGCTGGACCAAGAGATCAGATTTTCTCCCAGAAACTGGCAGCTTCCAGAAGTACTTTTACGCTCTACTCTGTCTCCAGCAAAGTCAGCATCGCAGTAACCTACTAAGCTGTAATCACTAGATTTTCTATAAAATAAACCCAGATTAGTAGTACCTTTCAGATACTTGAAAATTCGCTTAACAGCTGTTAAGTGAGATTCTCTAGGATCTGATTGGAATCTTGCACAAATACATACGCTGAATAAAATATCAGGCCTTGAAGCCGTCAGATAAAGAAGAGAACCAATCATACCTCTGTAGACCTTCTGTTCTACCTTTTTGCTTACCTCTTCTCTTTCCAGAATGCACGTGGGATGCATTGGAATCTTTGATGACTTACATTCTGAGAGATCAAATTTCTTTAGAAGTTCTATGACATATTTGCTCTGATGAATGTAAGTTCCCTCTGGATTTTGATTGATCTGAATTCCCAGAAAGAATTTCAGTTCTCCCATGAGGCTCATCTCAAATTCTGCCTGCATACACTTAGCAAATTTTCTTCCAAGAGAAGGATTAGTAGATCCAAAAATAATATCGTCAACATAAATTTGACAAACTAAGATGTCATTCTTAACTGACTTACAGAATAAGGTAGTGTCCACCTTCCCTTTGGTGAATTCTTTTTCTAACAGAAAGTTACTTAGTCTTTCATACCAAGCTCTGGGAGCTTGTCTTAGACCATATAGTGACTTCTTTAGTTTGAAAACATATTCTGGGTTTTTTGTACTTTCAAAACCAGGGGGTTGGTGCACATAAACCTCTTCTTCTATATATCCATTTAAGAATGCACTCTTGACATCCATCTGATACAGAGTGATGCCTTTATTAACAACAAACGAAATTAAAAGTCTGATAGATTCTAACCTGGCGACTGGGGCAAAGGTTTCTGTATAGTCCATCCACTCTTGCTGACTATAACCTTGTGCTACCAGTCGTGCTTTATTTCTGATAACTTCACCTTGTTCGTTCAGCTTGTTTCTGAACACCCATTTTGTTCCAATGACGTTGAATCCTTTTGGTCTGGGAACAAGATCCCATACATCATTTCTGGTGAATTGATTCAGCTCTTCTTGCATTGCTAGAATCCAGTCGTTGTCCAGAAGTGCTTCATCAATTGAGGAAGGTTCAATCAGAGAAACAAGTCCCATGAGGGACTCTTCAGAGTTTCTGAAGCTGGCTCTTGTTCTGATTGGATCTTCCTTTCTTCCTAAGATAGTTTCTTCTGGGTGATCCAAGCTGCTTCTGGGTAGTCTTTTCTGAGGTTGGTCAACAGATGTTGCTGGATTGCTAGCAGTGCCTCTTTCTGATGTTGAAGGAATGTCTTTATTTAGAGCTTCTGATGACTTGTCTTCAGAACTTGTAAATTCAACTTCCATACCTGCAAAAACTTCATTCTGCTTTGACTTTTCAGGGTCAAGCTTATCATCAAAACGAACACTGATTGATTCTTCCACAATCTGTGTTTCTGTATTGTATACTCTGTACCCTCTTGAGCATTCAGAGTATCCTAACATAATACACTTCTGTGCTTTAGAGTCAAACTTGTTCAAATAATTTTTTGTATTTAACATAAAGCAAGTACATCCAAATGGACGAAAATATGAAATGTTGGGCTTTCTGTTCTTCCACAATTCATATGGAGTCTTTTCCAGAATAGGTCTTATGGAGATTCTATTCTGAATGTAGCACGCTGTGTTTATTGCCTCTGCCCAGAAGATCTTAGCAACATTTGTCTCATTGATCATGGTTCTGGCCATTTCTTGCAATGTTCTGTTCTTTCATTCTACAACTCCATTTTGCTGGGGAGTTCTAGGACAAGAGAAATCATGCAAAATGCCTTTGTCATTAAAGAATGACTCAAAATCTTTGTTTTCAAACTCTCCACCATGATCACTTCTGACTTTAACGATTCTAAGATCCTTTGCATTCTGAACTTGGTTACAGAAAGTGACAAACACAGAGTGTGACTCGTCCTTGTGTCTTAAGAACT